TTTTACTCAGACGATCGATGAAATAAAACAGTGTAGTGACGTGCCTAGTAACCTGCTAAATAACGAGATAATTCCGACGTCAAATTCTAATTTGTTCAGCGACAGTGTACAAACGTGTGCTGGTGTCGGTGACGATCACGGTTACCAGCTACACCAGAACGGACATATTTCGCATCTAACTCAACCCCATGCAACAAAAATTGATACTATGTGTTCATTATGGTTCATTCTTCCTCGACAAACAAGTACGTAAGTGATAATTTAGTCAAAGACGAGAAAACTGCACAAGATATTTGCCTTATTTACACGTATCGGCAATGCAAGCTGCCATGCGACTTCCCCTTCTGACGTCACAAGGGGAATTTCTGTATGCAAATGAGAAGCTAATGAGGAGCCTCGTTTTAAAATACACAAAAATAAAGTTGCCGTAGACTGAGTTTAAAACACATTTTTTCACTTAAAAAAAATAATTCATGCTTAGAAACATAATTATTAATATTTATGTATCAAATGATAATTTTAGGCGTGAAAATAGCAGCCATTTCACAGGCACTTTAGGTATTACTTTTCAAAGTAGTGGTAATTTTACAATTGCTATCTATAATCTCGTCAAGAAAGCAATGCGTGCAATAGGTGCATTTAAACAAACACTTAGCCTACACAATTATATAGTCTCGCCAAAAAATGCTATTCAGTTATATCGCAGTACAATCCTACCAATTTCATTATATGGATCCGAGATATGGGGGGCTTTTACTTTCAAACTTGTTAAAACAAAAAATAACGAAATAACTGAAGACAATTTTATTCAAAGTCTGTTTAATGACAAAACACACTTTGAACAACTCGACATTAAACTTTGTAAATTTTAAGTGTTACTTATAATAATAAAGTCGGTCGGTCGGTCGGTCGGTGTAGACCTCTCTCAGATTTGTTCATATTGTGATGATATCTTCAATTATCTAATTTTGATAAATATCTCTCATATTTTCAAAGTTTTGTTGAAAACGGGAAGTCTGATTGCTTTGATCAGTGTAGGAAATTCCTGCCCGTCCGCACGCCCGAGACGGGTAACTTCGTATTGGACTGGTTGAATTTCAAACTTCCCTGTCCGGTGGTCGGGTAACATGTTACCACATTCTTCCGCCGAAATTAAAATAAAAACAAGCTACCATTCTTTATATGTGCTCTAAACATTTTAAACAGAAATGTGATCAGCCAAAACTATGAAAATATTGCATTGCCGTCGCAGATCGCGACTTGCCGACACGCATTCTCAACCCACAACACGGAATCCATTGACTTATTAACATAATAATAGGTAAGTGACCTCGGGTCAGGTCCTATCTCCCATGGTGCAGTGACACTTCCGGTGACCCCTGACCAGTTCTATCGTTGAGTAGTTTGTTTACAAAGTTTTCATTTCGCGTACAACATGTATCGTTTTTTGGGGATAGACCCTCCAACAAAGAAACAGAAGTCGAGCATCGATAGAATTGCGGCAAATAAGGAGTATGACCAGTCAAAACGTACTCGCAAAATCATTCCAAGCTGGAAGACGGAGTTCAAAGAATGGCTGGTCACCGATGACACCGGTAATCATACGGTGTATTGCCGTATCTGCCGGGCTATTTACGGGCCGTTATCAAACCGCAAAATACCAGACAAACTCCGTAAGTACGGAAAGGGATCGTTTGTAACCGGCTGTACCAATTTAAGACATGATGCCCTCACATGCCATGAAATGTCAATTGGGCATAAACAAGCCAAATCGATATTCGACGCAAAGAATGCTCCACCCACAGTCACTTGGGGGCTGAAAATCAATAAATACTAATTTTTTTAAAAAATCAAGTTTTATGGAAGGACAGAGGAGAAAGAAGTTGAGTGCTATACAGGCAGTAGATGAAGCACTCGAGCTGCTGAAGCACTTGATGAGGAGGAAGTTGCAGAAGCTGAAACAGATGGTGATGATGATGCTCATTTGGTAGCTGGATTAGATTCTGACTATGGTACAGATTTTTCTGATCTAGCCGAGAGCAACAGTGACACAGACGTCTGATATATCATGTTCTGAATATGCATTTCTCTACAGCTACTTGTTGTTAAAATAAACCGTGCATAGTATATTGTATACAACTTGTGTTTATTTGTGTGTGTATGTGTGCGAAAATAATTGAAAAAATGTGCGGGACTGGTAACATTTTAGCAGGGTTTGTAACTTTTGAAAGTTACCAGCCCTGATGTCTGGTATGTAATCTGGACAAATTTCCTACACTGCTTTGATACTATACATATTGTTTATTTTCTAATGATATCTTCTGTTCTTTAATTGAAATGTGCATTGCTAACAGCGGAGCAATCTTGGCCGACAGGCTGCTTGTTTTACTCAGAAGTGATTTTAAATTAGTGGTTTCAATTAAAAGAACAAAAAAATATGACTGATAAAAACACACCTAATACCGTAGCTGTCCGGGTGAGTGCCCAAGGTCCTGAACATGGAAAATTGCCAAAAAATAGGGGTGGGCATGCAACATATGCCCGAGCATCCCTTGCAAAAAACGAAAATTTGCAAAACTTTTTCAACATGCAAATCGAATTGTGGCAAGGAATTGAATGGCAAATAAAAACATCCAACAAAAATAAATGAACAATATGCAACATTGGAAGTATAACAAAAATAATTTGTTGCTTATAATGTGACAAATAAACCAGAAATAATTGTTAGGAATCATTTGAATTAGGATTTCCCTGTCGCAAACATGCCCAAAATGCGCGAACTCAAAATGAACTCAAATGTCAGGGGTTAAAATACGTAAAATTATATCCGGATGAACAGTCATACATGACAATGATAATTCACGAATTTACACAGTTGAAATTTCAAAAAAAACCATGTTCATTGCCATCTTCATCAAAGTCAAAAATCTAAAAGTCCAAGTCAGTGTCACTGTCGCCATCCAACAAAATCCCTACAATTTCGTCTTGAAGTTCATTGATGTCGTCGCACACAATTTGGATATTTAATCTACTGATTTAGCTGTTTGACAGCTTGGCATGTCTAATCACAATGAAGAGACAAGAAATATGGGGTTGTAAACATCTTTGACCTTTAAAGTGTAACTGAATTGGGACAATTTACTTTTTTTGTGTGCAAAATTTATTTATAAACAACATTATGAAAAAAAAACAAGTGAAAAATGTACATAAATTAAATAAACGATCAATAATAATGTTCTGGATAAGGAAACGTCCACGTCTAATTTCTTGGCCAACTCAGAACGAGGCTTCAGCTAGAGAACCTAATTAGCATACAAGGGTGATTTGTGATGTCACGGGGGGAACTTGTCATCGTTTCACAATGGCCGCTATACGCATGCAGTGCTCGGAAAGCGACCCGGAATCTATCTTTTCATCGTCTGACGAGAGTTATGAGATCGAGGAATATGATGACAACGAGAGATGTCACGATTTTGTTTTAGAGTGTCAGGGACAAAGTGGCCCATACAGGTTTGAACCTGCGAGAAAAGTACGCGATGTGGGTGACCGTGTACCTCCCCAAAATGACCATGACGATTCAGGCACCCGGTTAAGGCACAGGCACAGAGTTTGAACATCG